TAGCCTTGCTTCCCAGCCAGGAATGGACTGTATATTTCACCTCGCCCATGTCTGGTCAGCACCTCCAGTGGGTCGTTCAATCTCGTTACGTTAACCACTACGCCACATTGCCACGAGCGCACATGTTTGGGTCACAGGACACATGCGCATTTCAGCTAAAGTTATTTCTCTTCCCATACCGCAATTTCGTGTGCAAAACTGCCGCTTTCAGCCTTGCCAACTTTTCAATCGTCTGCTCTCAAATCGCCCTCTTCGTGGCTGCCAAAAGACAAAGTGTCCATCTCAGTCGGCCTACCGTGGCGTACAGATGAGCGGATCCGCGTCGGACGTCCACTGCGCCTCGCCGGTGCTCGGGTCCCTCGACAGCAGGTAGCGCACATGCCCGACCGGCATCCAGACTCTCGCCTCGTCGGGCGGATTGCGCTTCACGGCGCTGTAGATCGGCGGCTGCCGGTTGGCCAACAGCGCCGGCGAAGTCCGGCTCCGCTGTACCTGACCCGGTCCGGCGCCGACCCCAGGTCCGACCCCGGCGCCGGAGACCGAAGACGCGGCGGCGTCTGGCGCCGCGGTCTGCCGCGTCCGGCGGCCGCGGCCCGCGAGGTCGGTCTCGGCCGAGAGGCCGGGGTCGGAGGCGAGCAGCAGGCGCCGGGGACCCGCGCTGGTTCGAGTCCCATCGGCCCGTGGCTCTGCCGCGCCACCTTCGCCGCACGCCTCCAACAGACTCGAGCTGACCCGTTTCAACTGGGCCAGGTGGCCGGCAACGCTGCGTCGGCAAGGCGATTTGGTAGATCCCGCGCCGGTGCTGCTCTTGCGCCCTCTCGACGCCCTCATTCGCTCGGCCGGACTCGGACTCGGACTCGGACTGCCCTCCGAGTCGTCCTGGTCGCACCAGGTGTAGTCGACCAGCGTCAGGCAGCTGTGCATCGGCGCTGCTGAGGCCGGTCGGCCCGGCAACAAGGACTCGCTCTCTTCGAATCGAAAGCCCTACCAACCGGCCGCAAGGGTCCGGAAGTTGTCTCCGAGCAGCGCGAGGCGCGTTTTCGCAGACAACCCAAAGTCACGTCTAATCCGTTGCCCTTGTCGTCTGCCAGTATCGCTTAGACCGACTGTCCCGGATCCCGATCCCATCGGGCTAAAAACACACACACACGCACACACACACACACATATACACAAAGTGATAGACAGATCTGGTACTGTGACAGTTCGCACCGATTGCCCATACTGCCCTAATGATTGTCCCTCTGCATCACAGCACTCATGCCTGTCTGTCTGTCTGTCTGTCCATCTGGCCCCGGTACCAGCACACGCACAGTCCAGCCTCCATTCGTCAGAGGCGGCGTCCAATCGGCGCAACGAGGCTGTGCTAGACACACAGACAGGGCTTCGGACAGACGCACCTACCAGCCCATCCTGCAAAGGTGAAGAAGCATTTTCGCAATTGATCTGGACACGATTGTGTCCATTTGCTTGTCTAGACCTGCATGTGTGTCTATGCATGTATCAGTGTATTTAGGCATGCATGCATGCATGCATATATATATATATATATATATATATATATATGTGTGTGTGTGTGTATGCGTTTCGGGGCTGAATCGGGGATTCTGGCCGGTGAAAGAGGGAGGAGAGATTTCTCTTGGGGCTCCATTTGTGTTCGCTCACCTCTAGGAGAAGAGAGACAGACGAATCTTAGAGACAAAGATCCTCTACACAGACCAGCCTGACAAGGTCATTTGGGTTGATACCTGTCCCAACTACTGCTGTTGGGCTGAGGCAGGGCAATTTCTCCCAGTCGCCAATCTGCCGTCGACGTGTGGATACCAGGAGAGCGCAAAGTAGAGCCCTAAAATAAATGTTGGCACCAGCTCAGACATCGGTCTTTGGGTAGTTCGGTACTTTGCAATTATTTTACCTGACTCATCTTCACGCCTCCTCGCAACAGTGTCGACGCGTTGGTCACCAGCCGCTCGAGACTGAGTGCCCATGTTTTAAGATTCCCTTTCTCGATGTCATTTTACAGCTTTTTCCTAACTCATGAACTATTGCAGTATGCCATAGACTATAATTTATGAAGAATTCGCCAAAAAATACTTGGCCAAAAAGGGTGGCCGGCTAAAATTTTTGCTACTTCGCATGGCTTGCAATCCAATCTTAGCGAGGCATCTTATGATCTGGTTGCCTATTCTATGCTTGTACCAGCGTTTTTGGTAAAATTTTTAGTAAAAGATGCTTTTTTGGCTCCGACGATGTCCGGCACGGAATTGCAGAACAATGAGCCGAGGTCTCCTTCGCGTAATATAAGTCAAAAGTTCAAGTCAATCATTTTTCCATGTCCGGTGGGACAAATTTGGGAACTCTCACCATCTGACTTTTCCGATGAAATAAAGAGTTGATTAGCATTTCAACAATGCACAAATTAGCATCTATTCGCTTGCTCGTTAAACTCGCCTCGTCAACTCGAAAAAGAACAAGGAGGAAACTTTCAGGCCTCAAAAGTAATTTCATAAATTGTCATCCATCAAACGCGTTTTTTACAGGTTTATTTGACGAAAGAACTCTGCTGTCCTCAAGCTAATCTGGGTATACGACGTATAAGGCCTTCAAGCAACACTCATTACCGCATAGAATAACAAATTATTGCAGTTGCTACTTGTCTACTTTGGAGTAGTATCGTTGTGTTTATTAGTAAATATGAATTTGCCTAATTTCTATCATTCACTGTAATAAGGACGTGTAAATAGTATGCTTTTTTAACTTTTAGATTGAATTTTTGCTTTAAAGTAAAATTTAGTTGGATAGGATTTGTAAATTAGCCTCAACACTTGTGCAAGCAAGTAATCCTCCCTACGTGCAGTAAAATGCACCGATAGGCTAAGCCAAGAAATGTAACCAGTCCAAATCGAATTCACTTTTTATACCAAATTTCGCGATACTACTCAGGCACTCTACTCCATCATCAGAAAGGATGCACGACCACCAACAGCATAGGGATTAGCGAAGATACACAAAGAAGGCGAGCCACTAAGGCTGATGGTCAACAACAAGTATGGAGCAACACACAAATTGGCAAAGTTTATATGTTTGAAACTCTAGAAATTAAATGAGAGGCCATCAAACACGGTGAAACATTCAAGTGAATTTTCTCAAAAAATAAAAAACATGACACTGGAAGAAACGGATTTATTGTCAAGTTTCGATGTTGAATACATGTAACAAATATCTCGACAAAATGGGCTAACGGCCCTACTGGAAATGCCGGACCGAGAGGAGGATATTCTGGAATCGCAACGGATCGGTAGGGAGTCGTTAACAAGACTAACCAACTTGACAATAGGGACAGCCTATTTTACATTGAACGGGAACATCTATGAACAATTATTTGGACTTCCCATAGGATCACCACTCTCACCATTTTTGCCCAACGTATACAGGAACAAAATAGAAGAGATCTTCAAGATGGCACTACTGCAACCGACAGTGCTCATGCGTTACCTGGACGAGTATTTCGCACTTTGGTCACATGGAAGAGAAGGACTGGAAGAGTTTCTGAAGTTTGTAAACAAGATTGATTAAAAAATTCAATTCACGATGGAAGTAGAGGAAGGTGTGCGGTTACCGTTCCTGGACGTTGAAGTGATTCGCTTTAATGAGACGCTCGAACAGAAATTGTTCAGAAAGAAGTCCTATGCGGGGATAATAGTCAATTTTCGGTCCCATCACAATTACAGGCTAAAGATGAGAATAATAAGGAGCATTATCATCCGAAGCCTTCACCTAATGGAGGTAGAATTCTGGGACGAGGAGTTGGGCAAATTGACTAGAAAATTCCTCTGCAACGGCTACCCAAGCGAAGTGATACAAAGAAACATACGGGCGGTGAAAAGCCGATGACAGAATGGGTACTATGAAAGAAAATTAAGGACGATGAAAGATTCACAAAAGTAGATATGCCTACCTATTTGCGAGCTAACTCAAAAGCTACGGCCAATATTGAGGAAATGGAATATTCAGGTGGCCATGCCAGAGAAATCAACATTTTTCACAAGTCCACCAACGCAACATGAAAGGGTAGACAAATTGGACTGTTCGGGA